ATTACTTTTTTTCAAAGCATTCCAATGTGGAAGGGATTTATAGAGATTGACTAATAATTTGTTATGTCTATAATTACCATTTTAGTGAAAAAGGCTATAATTTTTCACTCTATTACATAATTTTAGCTTAAGCTATTATCTCTTCTTCTTTGCACCAATCAAACAAATTATCATACTCAAATCCATGTCTTTGACCTAATTTCCTAAACAAATTTATTAAATAATCATAATCAGGTTCAACTGAGAAACCAAGACTCTTAATATGACTTAATTTAAACATTTATTTATTACTCTAAAGCTTTTTAAAATTCTATTGGTAAATCTTAACAAATTTCAGTAGAACTTAATTTAATCTTTTTTTCACCAATCATTTTTTATCTCTCTTTATTATTTTAAGAAATCTAATGTTGCCATGGTAGAACTCTTTAATCTAAATTAACAAATTCTTTATACCCTTTTAAAAATAGAACTAATATATAAATTAATGTTTCCATATCATCTTTTCTACTCAATTCATGACCTTTATGAGCAGCAATAGGAGCATATCGAGTAGTTCCTACAAATGGTCTTCCCTCTCTAAATGGTCTAAATTTCATAATAATCTAATTTTACATATGCTTTTAAGAATTATCTTTATATATCTTACTTATACCAAAATCTACAATGTAAATTTATCTCTAATGATACATAATATTTTCAGGCTTCAAATCTCTGTGCAATATAGATTTCTAATGAACATTTCTTAGAATTTATATTAATTAATCTGCAATCATTAATACTGTTTTTAGACTGAATTTTCGATACTCTTTTAAATAGCATCCGAGATCCTTAGATAACAACTACATAACAACTATGTTTTATCCATTATGAATTCCATTCCAATAAATTTAAGGAATTCCTGTAATTTTTTACAATCGAGATAATGCTGAGACTTCTCTTTCCAAGGTTTGAGGTTTATCCTTTTTCTCAATCTTTATAGCAACAGATGTTTTATTTGGAATATTCTCACCTTCATACACTATTCCATAACTACCCGCTGATAATTTCCTTATTAGTTGATATTGATTGTTAATGTAATTCATATTATTTTTCAAAATAATTTAATATTTTAAAGTTATCCATAATATATATTATTTTATCATAATTAAATTAGTGCATTATTGAGGTTGGAATTGAAATAAATTAAAAAATATTTTGAGTGTTGATTTTGATAGTGCATGTTGGCAATTACTCAAAGTAAATAGTACTCATAGAGCATATATTTACTGTACTATTTATAGACAACACTTAAATTTTGCAATTTGGATGATTATAGAGTCTCGATAATTATAAATCAAATATACTTAATATAAATTAAAACTATAATTAATACATACTGCTTATAATATACCAAAATATATCTTCTAAAATTAATTTATTAAATATTGTTTTTAAATTTTCTCATATATTTGAAAGAAATAATGCCTATCTCGATGGTTTATATACATTATAGATTAATTGATAATAAATATATATTTAAAAGTTCAATAAATGGCAGCAGAGGGCTCTTTGGAATGGAAATATATGCCAGTCACTGGGGTTTTAGTTGATCAAAAATCAAATAAAGTGATATGGGAGCTGAAATCAGAAGATTCTAAGTGGCCAAAAGATTTATTTACAGTTTCTATTTCCTAGTCGAAGGAGTTCATGTCTGATCCTGAGCTTGGATGGAATTGGCACAAATCATGGAACTTACCTGACATAAATTATACATTAAATGTATTGATTAATCAGGTATAAAGTTTAAAAACAATGATACTACTATGAGAGACTTTCAAGGAGGAATTTTGGAAGTGTAATTGTTTGTTATCAAGAGAGGACTAATTGCTAATTAATACATAAGTCTTGGATTAAGAGGAAATGCAAAATTGGCATTATTTGAACCTTCTATTACATTTAGTGGTTTGAAATTTGGAACTACATCCTATAATAATAAAGTAATTTAGAAATTTTAGTTTTAAGTACTCCAAGTTTAACTTTATATTTGTATTATCTTATTCAAGAAAAGAAGAAGTTCTTATATTAGACTCATAAATATCTTCAGATGTGTTTGTTGATTCAAGAAATAGAACTGGTCATAACAGTAGAGACATATCTTAAGAAATGTTTTTAGATCTTTTTCCACCGTAGCTTATTGATTAAATATTATATAAAAGAGAAAATGCAAAATAGAACTCCAAATTTAATTAGATTGATAAATCACTTTAAGGTTTTATTAATTACTACACATCTCCTAACATAAGAAATAAGATTAAACATCCTCTATTTATGGTTATGAAATTTCCCAAATGTGTCAAATTATTCTTTAGTGCTAATTTTATAAAAAAATAAGAGAGTGTATTAATGCAAGTGTTGTCCCATTTAAGTTAAGTCAAACAACAATTGAGCCAGTCAAATGAGATGAAACTTTTAATAAAAGTTGAAAATTCTAATTAAAACACATTAAAGAAAGTAAATTTTATTAATATATTATAGGTTCTAGATATAATTAAATAGTTGGAGAATAATTATTATGAAATATACACTCAAAGAGCTAACATACCCTCAGACGCAATAGAAATAACTGATATCTACTCTTTAACTAAAGAATACAAAAGGAAATACCAACATTTTATAGATCATGCAGAAGGCAAAAAGTAGCATGATAATACCAATACTTCTAAGGTCTAAAAAGCTAAATTGAAATAAATCTAGAAAAGCCTTGATTAAATAGTATACTAAGATGACCCTAATCACCATTTAATTCAAGTGAATGCTGACCGTATGCAACCAATTTTAGGGCAGATTCGTTAAATATCCAAAAAAATATAATCAAATCACTAATAACAAAGTCAAAATGTCTTAGGAAGCGAAGCACAACAAGTCAAAGACGAGAAGGAATAAGAAAATCATGCTTAAAATTTGTTAGAGAAAGATGTAATTTAAAAAGATAAGTAAAATTAATATTTTTCTTTAGAAATATGAAACAAGGTCCTAATTTGAATCCCAAACTATTGAATAATTAATTTTAAGCTCCTGAAGTAATATAATATTTATGTAGATCTTCAATCAATTTTCCAATCTTTAATATTGCAATGCCTACCAATAAGATTACAACCAATTTCTTTAGTGTTATCATAGCAATCAACAATATGGAAACTTTAATTTATTTTATCCCTATTATTATCATCAATATCATCCAAAGGAATGATTTATAATATAATTAAATTCAGAAAAATTATTTATAAATTTCCAATTTTCCTTATTATCTCAAAAATTATTTATCATAGTTAATTGAAAGTATTTCCTATGATTGATTTAAGTTTTCGACAGGAACTAACTTTTTAAAAGGACCCTTATATTTTCTTTTTGTATTAGGTATTTAGTTATTTGATGTATTATTTTTATTTAATTACAACTCCTTCTAATCATTTATGATTTTACATAAACTTGATGTTTCTCTAGCTAACTAACTTAATCCTTCTACCTATATATAATAATAATATGATATCTACTTATAAATTTTAAATTGAATTTCCTTAAGCTATTAATTCATTCACCTTGTCCTATCTTTCTTCAAATCTTTAGACAAAACTCTTAGGTCTTTTATAAACACCTGAATTGTTCATTTATTTTATTATTTCCAAACCTTGAGCCTTTATTTTTTAGTTGGTTTCCAATACTTCTGAACTTGATCTTAATTATCTTTCCTTAAAGTCAAGAGAATATTACCCATAACTTATTTCCATGTCTTTCTGCATCAGTTTAAATTAAATCTAGAAGTTTTCTATCCTCATTTTTTTCTCTTTCTGCTTAGATTTTATTATAAATTGATTAGGAAACATGTCTTTTACATCTTTATGCTGACTTGATTACTCTTTATTACCAATTGATTTATTGTTATTCAAAAGATTTCATGATTCTATCATCTTTATCAGCAGCAGCTAAATCTGCTTGACTTAATTTTGATAAGGGAAGTTTAAATTAGTTTATTTTTTATTAGATCTGAACTTATTTAATTTCTTCTTCAACTTAGCCAAGTTCCATATCAAATTCAATGAATTAATCATCTTCTACTTGATTATTTTTTTGTTTTTAAGAAACTTTTGATTTATATTCTTTGTAACTTATAGGTTTGATTTTTATATTCATTTATGAATCTTCATTTGGTTACGCATTGATTAATTTTTTATCCATGATTTCAGGTTTACCAACTATATAATATGGAACTATCTTTCCATTTCTATATAATCTTTATTCATCAACCTCTTATTAGGTCATAAAAATGTTTGCATTTTTGTTTAAAGTTATAGACTTTCTCAATAAGTAATGTTAAACAGAAGACATTAATTAAATAATATTAATATAATGGTGTTTATAAATATATTAAGTTTTGATTAAATTTCAAGCATTTAGGAAGTAGATTTAAAATCCAATTATTTTAGCATTCCAAAAAGTTAATTAAATATTGTTTTAGAACATTTTTTATTGTTTGATTAAAATTTAGCATCTACTATTATTTATTCTTAAAACATTAACCCTCATATGATACATTCAATAATTCATTAGCCTTATTTTTCGAATAATTTTATCCCTTTAAAATTATGTTAAATCTAGAAATGATTGAAAATATTTAATTAAAAAAATATTAGTTAAATATTGAATATTAAAATATTTTTATAAAGCTCTTTTAGTTGTTAATGAGCTTATTATGAATTCAATGTGGAACAAGTAATAATTAATGGTCGATATATAATTAAGAATATATTCATAAAAATTAATTTTTTATATGGATTGTGTGTTTAATTAATTAAATATTAATTACTTGTATAATTGAATTTAATGTAAATGATTATGGATATGATGTTATTCTGATTATCAGTTGTGAATAATTAAAATTATTAGTATAATATGTTTTGAATATATGATATTTATATTAGCGACAATATAAATAGAAAGTAAATAAATTTATTTGAAATATTATTTTAAATAACGGAAGATATGAGTTCTCTTTTAAGACATAATGATGCACCAGGTATCTTAAATAATAATTATATAGCTGCTAATGTTGCTGTAGCAAGTATTCCAACTCCATAACCTTAAGATTATGATTGGGTCTTGGTTTCTGGATTTATCGTAATATTGACTCAGGTTGGATTTGCATTTATTGGAGCAGGATCAGTCAGATATAAGAATTCATAATCAGTAGTAATCAAAGTTTTCTTGGGATTATTTTTAACTGTATTGATTTGGTGGTTGGTAATTGATAAGTAAATAACATTAGTTTGGATATGGATTTTCTTTTGGAGATGATTTCTAAACTAAATTCATGGGTGGAACAAAATTAGCAGGAGCAAAATGGGAAGCAACAGCCTATGGAAATGATTATACAAACTTTGGTATTATTAATAATTAATTTGAAATTAGTTTTCAGAGCATCAGGTGCAGCAGTAGGAACAGCTATATTGGCAGGAGCAGCAGCAGAAAGAATGACATTTTTGGGATGGTCAATCTTCACTATTTTATATTCTGGATTTATTTATGCAGGATTAACACATTGGACATTGGCAGCAGGATGGTATTTTAAATTAAAAAATATTTTAGGTTGAGTGCTCTTGGATTTAAAGATTTCTCAGGTGCAGGAGTTGTATTCTATGCAGCTGGTGTAGCAGGATTAATTTTGACAATTTTATTGAAACCCAGAAAAGCCAGATTTGATAATGGAGCCACACTTGATTTCAATAGACATTCTCCATTATATATTGGATTTGGATCATTATTAGTCTTGGCTGGATGGCTTTTCTATAATGGAGGAGTTGTTAGTTAAGGAGCTAAATCTCAATACATTTAAGGTTTAGTAGCAGTTAATACATTGATTGCTGGAGCAACTGGTGGATTCTTTAGTTTTGTTATTAGACATTTCTAATATGGTACTTCAAATTTAGCAGCTTTATCCAGAGGAGTGATTTGTGGATTAGTTGCAGTTAGTGCTGCTGCAGATGATATGAAACCATGGACAGCTTTTCTTTATGGTGCTATTGCTGCATTAATCTACAGTTTCTTAGCTAAAGTTATGCCTGCTGCTCATATTGATGACCCTGCTGAAGTTGTATCAGTTTATCTTGTAATTATTAATATTAATTATAATAGGGTTCAGGATTTGTTGGAATTTTGTTATCAGCATTATTTGACACTAAAGCTGGAGCATTTTATGGATTTGGAACAAAATTATTAGGTCATTAATTATTGGGATTATTGATTATTTTCGCTTGGGTGACCTTCTTTACCTTAATTATACTTCTTGCCTTTAAAGGATTCGGTATTTTGAGAATCGATGCTGAAACTGAAAATGTTGGTATTGATAAAGCTTTATGTATAATTAATAATAGATTTTAGGTTTGGGTGAAGCTATTGTATTCGCTAATCAAGTTGATGAAATGCCTCTTGTTTAATAAACTGAATTAGGAAATCTTAGATCAAGTTAATTAGGATCAGGATTAAGATCTGGATTCAAATGAATCAATTAGATAAATTATAAATTATAAATTAGAACATTTATGTATAAATTTCATCCTTCATTCTTTAACACATTTAAGAATTACTTTGCAGCATATTCATAATCTTCCAAACAATTATAAATACTAGCACTAAATCTAGCCCATGATCTTCCATCAAATTCATATAGAACAATAAATACATTATATTTCTCAAAACACTATAAAATATTAATATATTAAATTTTTACTATTTTCTAACATTCCATTATATAAGAATGATCTTTGTGTGGCACTAATACATTAACCATAGCAGAATGCATAGCTTTGTCTTGAACTAATAATTCAGTTTACCAAATCTTAGCAACTAAATTACTACCTTCCCAAGCCAAATTCTCACAATATTCAATTATTTATTTTAGACCAAATGAGTTGATATAGTTTATTCCATCAATTACAGATAAGATAATACTTGCATCTTTAGTACCATAATATTCAAATTCTTTTTCAATGCCAGCTCCATAAAATACAGATATTGTGTTGTTATGTATTTAATTCAAATATTTCTCCTTCACATATAATAAATTAACACTACATGGACAGAATGCCCATTTGTTCAAATTTGTAAAAAAGAAATCAGGATCTAACTCTTTTAAATTGATTTCTCTGATTCCAGCCCCATGAGCTCCATCAATTATGCTTATTACATCATATTTCTTGCATAATTCAACAAACTCTTAAATTGGCAATTTTAATGACGGAAATGATGATATATTATCTAAAATTGCTACTGTTATTTTCTTTGTTTTCATATTTTCTAATCATATATTATCTACTCTTACCTTCAATATACTATAGAATGATTTCCTTTTTCAAGTCTTCAACCTTAAGATCTATCATACATGTATTAACATTAAAATTAGTATTCATATATTTTATCACATTCTTTACCATAGGATAGGCAATATTCAAATATAAAATTGTATCCTTATCTGTCAATCCCAAATCTAAAAGTTATTGAAATTAAATACTTTTAATTATACTATTCATGGACTCTGCAGAATTATTTGAGAAGAAACATTGATTAAAGTTTGCATTCAAAAATTCAGCTGCAGTTTTTCTGACTATTGGAGATTACTTTGGAATTATGTATCGAGCAAAACTATCAGGGTTCTCTAAAAACTTTCTAAAATTATCAATTCTTGATTATAAGACACATTTTGGAATATAGCCAAAGCTACTATGATTAACACAAGTATATCCAGATTCTATTACGAAATCATCTTTTAATTCTTTCCCAAAATTTTTCATTATGTAAATATCTTAATTTTTAAATAGAAATACTAAACAATTTATTAAACTTAATACAATTTTTAATTAAGTATTTTTTTATTATCTCATCAATAATTAATTGATATTTTTATATTTTAATAACTATATTAAATTATATATTGAAATTATAAGAATTTCTTAAATTAGAAAATGCAATAATGCTGTTGCATTTTTAAATTGATCTTGAATACTTTATGTTAAATCTATGTTAAAAGGGCTAATTAAAAAAATAATATAATTATTTGAAAATTAAAAATATTAGAATTCAACAAAATTTGCAAATATTTTAAGTTACATATTAAAATAATCAATTATAAATGCTTTTTTTAGTTAACTCAACCAAATATAGAAAATATACTTTTTCTTCCTTTTACAGGACTTTTTTCATCTATATTTGTTATTTGTCTAGTTGTAAGGCTTTATTAATGTTATTTATCTAATTTTTAATATTTTTATTGCATAATGCAGAATTGAGCATTTAATTATGTTAATTATAATTTAGATTTAAGTGCTTCTGATTCTGCTCTTTTAAGTTCATCTTTTAAGAAATTAATTTCTTCAGCTAAACTCAGTTTAGTAGTTAGATAATGTGTTTCCATAGTATTTAAACATAATTTTAATTTTTCTATTTCTAATTTATTGTCTTTTTCTTATTTAAAATCTAATTTCATTTTTCTTAGATTATGTATTTCTAATAATTGAGATTTTAACTCTTTTTATAAAATTTCAACTGTTTATTCTAGATTAGAAATTTCTAAATTTTAAATTCTTAAATATAAATAATTTTTACTTAATTGTATGTTTAGCATCAAGTAATGCATCTTTTATATTTTCATACTTGCTATTAGGTCCTACTCTTCTTCTAGAACTATTCTTAGTTTAAAAAGAACAATAAGAATCTGATAAATGAGAAGTAGGAGTTTATGAAATAGAATGATTAGGATCTTCTATATGTGTATTTTCATGATTTTAACTAATTTAGCTATCTTTGAGAAGATCACTTAATAAAGCATTTTAATTAGATGGAATTTCATGATCATTTAATTCAAGTTTTTATGGATGAGATAAAATAGCAATTTTAAGTTATTATTCATAATGAATAGCCAATTTTTATAATTGATCATTTTATTCTTAAATAGTTTAATCTTATTCATTAACTTATTATTAAAGAGTTTCAATTAATTCCTTATATTCTTAAATAGCTTATGTATGTTTTCTATTTTGATTTTCCAAATAAACTAATTTTCTAATAAGTTCTTCTTTCTGTTTAGTCATATTTTATTTTTCTCTTTGTAATTGTGAAAATTACTTATATGCATCTTCACATTTCTTATCACTTTTAATAAGTTATTATAATGCATATCTTAATCGTTCACTAATATCTGAAAACTTTTTATCATAGATTATTTAATCTTAATTTTTTTCATCTCTTAAAATATTTATTTTCTTTTCTAGTTCATTTATTAATTTTTCATAATATTTATTCTTTTCTTCTAAAATACCAATTTAATGCAATAAATCTTATTCAACTAATTTTTTTTAATTCATTTCTAATTCTAATGATTCAAATATATTATTGGTGATACTCCTTTCTAGATTTGACAATTATTCTTCATGTTATTATTATTGATGTTCTAATTTATATTAATAATCTTATATTTTATTTTCCAATTCTTAAATATCATAAATTTGAATTTGAGAACTATTTTCAGTTTATGCATTATTATTTTTTTCATTTTATTTCAACAATTCAATTTCTTTGGCTTATTCAGATATAATAAATTCTTTTTCAACAATTAAAGCAATAGCTGTTTCCTCCATTTTAACTAGTTATTGTTTCAAATCAGAAATCTTATCAGATTCCAACTTGGCTTAGAGTTATTGAATTTCTTTAATAAGTCTAATCTAAATAGGATTTTAGTATAAGATTTACCTCATTCTCCTAATAAAGAAGTATTTATTCTTCAGCTTTTGCCAATTATTCTTACATTTATAGGGCAAACTACTACAATTTAGTTTCATGAGCTGATTCAATTTGTTTATTTAATTCTATATCTAAATCTTCATTTCTTTTCTTTAATTATTCAAGAGAATTGATTAACTTTCATAGTCTTAAGAGTTACTTCTAGATGTTATTATTTGGACTGAAATTCTTAGAGTCTAATCTACTTTTTTAGACTCTCAATTTCAATTTATTGAGTTTGAACAGTTTGAATGAACTAAATATATGGAATTGTTTACAAATTTTTCATCGTCCTCTTAATTCATTTATTAAATTATATTTGTTATATTAATATTTATACGTACTAAAGTTAAGATGATGGATTATAGTTGTGATAACTTTGAAGTAAATGAAAGTAGAATAACTTTGAATGTATATTTGAATTGTTATGATATTGTATAGAAAGATGAAGAAATAAAGAAATTAACTTTAGAAGAAGACTTACCAGAGATCAAAAGAACATAAATAATATTAATGAAAGGATAGCAACGTTAAAAATTAGCTGTAATTTATTATCCATCTATTTTTTTGTTTGGTAGATATATAACAACCTACACAGATTACTATGTTTAGGTTTTGATCAATTGTATCAATATATAAGAGGTGATATTATGGAGTAAAGTGAAGAAGTACAAATAATAGCTGCAAGATCTTTATAAAATTGTAAAATTAAGCCAAAAGAAATCATCCAATTGGCATTACATTTCATTTAACTATATTAATGGAAATTAGCATAGGCTTGGATGCCTGTATTTCAAAATTTAGTGTTACTGATTGATTATAAAGAATTTTAGTCTTATTTGGAGAAAATGATTCTCTAATTTAGTGAACCTAAATAGCCTGAAATAGGTAGATGGGTTGGAGCTAAAATGATAGTGTGTATTTCACCAGTGTTGAAGGATGAAATGAAAGGACCCATATTGGATAGAGCTCGTTTATTATGTTCAGATCCAGATCATGAAATTAGAGAACTAGTTGCTGATGAATTACTTACTTGTTTGATATGCAATTTATCAGGAGAATTAGTTGAGTAATATTTCATAGACAAAATTAATGAATTGTTGTATGACACTCAAATAAAAGTTAAGAAAAATATGGTAAGAACATTCCTTAGGTTTCAACATAGATTCCCAAGAAACAGTTATAATGTAATTATGTTATTTAATAGATTAGATCAAAGGTACTACTGTCTTTATTGATTGTTTATCTACTAACAACATAGAATTATTGAGTGTGGCTTTACAATATTGTGGAGAAACATTTGTACAAATCCAAGATTTAATTAATGATGAGTTTAAGAATAAGTTTACAATTTTATATTAGAAATTTGGTCAACATCAAAATGATGAGATAAGGAAATGGTATTTATATAATTTACCTGGAATACTATTGCATTTGAATGAAGGCCCTTATGCAAGTTAAATTTTAATGCCATATGCAGATATTTTAATATAGGATAAGAGTCATTAGAACAAATTGCTAGCTTGCAAAATATTGCATGAAATATCGAAATAGTTTGATGTAATTGAAGTACATAAATCTTAAAGTACAGTTATGTGTTACAAAAAATGTGGCATTTGTTTGAGTGTGTGATCTAGAGTGATGATCTTGATTGCATATTAGTCATCAATTTACCTGAAATGTATAAGTTGTTGTAGGGCAACGAAGAGAATCAGGAGAAACTAGTAATTATATAAATTTAGTATTCCTCTAGAAAACTTAATTTAAAGACATTAATTAATAATTGCAAAAAGTCTATCAAAAATGCTTAAGCAATTATTAATATAATTAACTATTTTTAGAACATCTTCTCAAATTTCTACATTTAATAAACAAAAAGCATTTTGAACAATACATTCTCCCAGTCATTTACAAGGAACAATAAAATATTCATTCAGACCTCCTGTCAATGAAATGTTTAGCCAAATTCTATAGTGTTTGTCAAGACTACGAAATACAAATGAAAATCAAAGATACAATGAATCTAATGTTTTTTAGAGGCAATAACAATAAGAGAGTCCGTTATATATTTTGGGTTTCAAATATGATACCATACATAAGTAAAAAACGTTTTCAAGAATTAAATGTAATTAATTATTTTTCATTTTCTATATAGCTCAACTAAATCATCTCTTATAGCTCTGATAAAGCTGCAAGTGTACAAATACAATTAATTAAAGCTTTGCCTCAAATCTACTAATATTTAGAACCTATCGAATACAATCTAATCAAAAATGTTAAGGGATTAACTTAGTAATCTCTGTCCAAAGAAGCATTCCTCTAGATTCAATAAAGATAATAACAAAATCTCAACTTTTAGGATGAGTAGAATTAGTTAATTCAATAAGAAGAAGCTGTCTTTACATAATTCACTTAACAATAGAAATAAGAGAAGGGAAATGATCTCATCTAAAGTAATGAATATGCAAATAAATATCTCAAAAAACCCATCCCCAAATTGGTATAATAATAATCGAAAAAGACTCCAAATGCATCTACTTCTGTGAGGTATTTTAATTCTCTTAATATTTTTTTAATATAGATTAGCCAATCAATCATTTGGAGAACTCACTCCTTAATAATAATAATAACAACAATTTAAAAGAGTTCGTAGATATACTGATGCTACCAAATCAACTTCCAAACCTTCATCTAGACCTAGTGGATTTACACAAAAATGAGATTACGAATATTAACATATATTAATTAATAAATTAATTATGAGTCGATAAGTATATGTTGGGCGTTTGAGTTCCAGGATCCGTAGAGAGCACCTTCAATAAGAGTTTGAGAAATTCGGCAAAATCAAGGATATTGATTTACGAAATACTCATGCTTTTATTGAATTTGAAAATGGAGATGATGCCAGAGCAGCCATTTCAAAAATGGACAACAAACGATTGAATGAAGGCAGTGATCGTATCACAGTCAAATCAAGAGGTAGAAAAAAGAGATGGATGAAATTGAAAAGATGATCGACCGTAAGGTGCAAGAGGACCCACATCCAGAGACGTATGTTTCAATTGCGGCCGAAAAGGACATTGGGCAAACGAATGTAAAGAAGGTATACACTTATCCCAATTTCACCAGGGGACTTACGAGACACATGTTATCGTTGTTATAAAAAAGGTCACATACGTAAAGATTGTCCAAAATCAAGGACACCATCCGAGAAAAGAAGGTATACATGAATATTTATTTTTTAGTCGAAGAGATAAAGATAGAAAGAGAAGAAGATCTTCATCTTCCTCATCAAAGTCTTCGGAATCCTCTAAATCTAGGAGAAGATATAGATAATAGTAGAAACAATAGAAGAAACCTAATAGAAGATCACCTTCTTCAAGTGAGAGCAGATCCAAACCCTCATAATCATCACAAAGCTCTAGGTATTTAAAAATTATTAGTATAATTTAAGCAAATAACCATGATTTAATGAGTGTATTGTTATATTCATAAATCAATATATAATATTATAACATATATATGAATTAATAATTGCATCACAGAATAGGTAGAGAACATAAAGTGGATATTGCAGAATAAAGAATAAGAAATTTATTTAATATTGACATTCTCTAGAATGTTCAAATTAGGAGAACTTAATTTATTAATTAAATACATTCTAATCCTAAATCCCTAATTTAAGAAGGCTTTGTTGTTCATACTATACCTCTGAGAAATTGTGATATCATGAAAATATATAACTATCCAAAGAAAAAATAATAACATAATCAATAATTAACATGTCCTGATCAAATTCCTTAAATTACATAAGAAAAAATTTAAAGAATTATGACTACTGTAAAAAAAGATAGATCAATGAATATATCTATAGATAATCATTCCAATACAATTGCCAAAATGCCTGCATTTTACACTAAACATTAATGTATCATATTATAAAATTGAGCCAATAGTAAAACATAACAATCAATGTTAACAAACGAAAGTATTGCAATTAGAATTAGATCTTTAAGTAGAGTGAAAGATAATCTTTAAGATTCTTCGATTTTTCAAAAAAGATCAGCAACATCAAATAAGAAGAAAAGGTTAAGCTAATATAAGCAACGTTTGTAATAACAAGTCAATAGTTTTACGTAAGACTCTTACTTTAATTGAATTATTCTAAATATATATATATATATAATAAATAAAATTTATTGGATGTCAACAATAATAATCAATGAGGATTATGATTCTGATTTAGAGATATTTGAATAAAGAAATTAACAAAGTATCAAGTTCATTCAACTTAGTTTAATAATTAAAAGAATAGCAGTTACAGTTTAAAGAATAATTACTTTAACATATTTAGAATAAAGATTATGATTATAACTTAATATCTCCAATTCCATATCCGATGGATAAGAAGATTAAAGAAAAGAATTAAAATACAACTAATCTATTATAATTAAACAAAAGTCATGATTTAGTAAGTGAACGATCATAACCTTCATCAAATTATTAATTTCCATCCAAAAATAGCAAAACAAATTTAAAGGGAAATTATCTGTTCAAATAGAATTATTTACCTAAAACTCCAATTAAAAAAGTATCTAATGTGACAATCCCAAAATCTTATTGCAATAAGAATCAAAGTAATTTGAATAATAAGAAATCTCCTTCTAACATTTCAACTGGCGAATAAAAATCAGCAAGAACTCCAGAATAAATAAAACATTATGTAGGTGTGTTATCACCCTCTCCTTATAATTCATGGCTAAAAAAAGATTATGAGAACAAATCAAAATAATATAATTTGGCTTCTTTTACAAATAAACCGGTTGATAAACCTCGTCAAATTATGAAAACAGAAGAAAATACTAAAATTATCAAACCATAAGAAAAGAAAATTGTAGTTCCAACTGAGAAACCTAAAAAAGGATTTGAATAATGGTATGATTCATAAAAGAAATGGTAATATTGAGTTTAACTTTATTTTAGGTTGAAATAAACTGAGGAGAAAATCTTTAAATAAAAATTATAAATGGAATAAGAATTAGGTGAGTAAGAACAATTTAGTCATTCTCCTGAAATTCATGAAGGTTCTAGATATATTGTGCAAAAGAAATATAATAATGCTAGTTTATTAGAAAGATAGAAATTCTATTAAGAAGAATTATAATATAAATAATTTTAAAAGAAATTAAGAGAGGAAGAGGATAAGAAAATTAATTAAATTAGAATAAGTCCCTTATCAAGAAAGATATTAAGAAGTGCATCTCCTAAATCTAATTGTTCTTTTACAATTTGCAATTCATCTAACTAAAATTATTCAACAATAATAAAAAAATGATATTTTTGTACCTCTATTGTAATTGGTTTATTTGATAATATTCTCATATAATATTTAATTATAATTTAATTTCAAATTATGAGTTCTCTATTTGTCAAATGTATGACATGTAATTAAAAACCTGCCACCATTAAGTGTTCAGAATGTCAACCTGGATATATATATCGTATATGTTATTCTTGTGATACACAAGTTCATAATAAAAGAGGTCCTATTGATTGTCAACATAAAACAGAAATCATACCATATCAAGGTATTCCTTAATATAAAATCAAATAGAAATGTATCTAAAAGGTTAATCAGCTACAGGTATTCGAGATAAATAAACATAAGTAAAATCTATAAAAATTTTAATTGTTAGAGCAAACCTGAATTAAAATAAAAGCCTAAATAATCATAATTACAATATCAATAGCCATAAATATCTAATTCAATTTAATAATTTACAACTACTCAAAAAGCAGGGAGAACTGATTAGGATACTAAGAATTTATAATAAAATAAACCTTTTTCTATTTAAAACAAAGAAGTTTTTAAAATAGAATAATAATAATAGAATAAATCTGAAATACTATAATAACCAACAAAAATTAAAAATAATTATGTTGGAAAATAAGAAAATTAAGAAATAAATTCTGTAATTTATTATTTGAATTTATAGGATTAAACTAATGAATTGAATGAATAAATTAAAAAAGAAAAGGATTCCAATCAAAAATTGAAAAGTGAATTGTAATAAACAAAAGATTAACTTTAAAATATAAATAAAGAAGTGGAAAAAAGAATGTATTAATTAAATTATATATATTATTAGATAATAAAATCAAAAAGAATTAGAAAAAAAGATTAGTGAATTAAAGAAAGAATATGCTGAAGATAAAAGAAAAACAGAATAATTATCTGAAGATGTATATACTAAAAATATTTGCACAAGGTTAAAAATTTAAAAGAACAATTAAAATCAACTGATTAATAGGCAACTAAGAAATTAGATTAACAAAAGAAATAGTACGAACAATAGTTGAAATAATTAGAATAGGTAGCATAAGAAAAATAGGATTAAATTGAAGAAATAACATAAGAATTCTAGAATTATAATTTTGAAGACATTTAAGCTAAAATGGAAGAAATGGACAATGATAATAATTAGAGAGATTAATTAATAGAGGAATTGTAAAATTAATTATAAGAATAAAATTAAGAAGGAGATAAAAATGATGGTTAAGTAGCAGAAAGTGAAGAATTAAAAATTTAATTGGAATAAAAAAATTAAGAAATTGAAAAATTAGAAGAATTAATAGAAAATTTCAAATAGTTATATTAACATATGTTAGATGAAAAACAAGTTTTAGTTGATGAGAATGAAAAGCTTGTTAGTGAGAATAATCAATTTAGAGAATTATTTAGTGTATATATATGATTAATATTTAGTAAAATTTACATCTATTTGGAATTGATCCAAATGATTTAGAAGCTGGAGATGAAGATGAAACAGGAGCAGAAGCTGAAGCAGAAGATTATCGTTAACATGAAGATGATGAAGGTTGAATGTAGTAATTTTATAATGAATTTTTTATTGTTATTATTTTAATAGATATTATTTTAATTATAATGAGGGCTAGAAAATATTTTGTATTAGTACAAGAAAATTTGTAAACTTAATTCTACAAAACAGAAAAATATACTTAGATTAATCTTGATAAAAATCCTAATCAAAAAAAATTCCAATTTTAAGATGAGAATTTAGCTAAAAAATTTATATCAAATGTCTAATCCTGTTAAAATAAAGAGGCTTTTGAAAAATTAGAAATGGATTATGAAATTTCTAAATAATTAGCTAAATATTAAGAAAAGATTAAATCTTGCAAGACATTTTCTGATAATGAAAATTTAGATGGTGTATCCATCAATCTTAGGAGACTCACATATATTTATGTATTATGGAATAAAAATTCTTATGAATTGCCACGAATGTATTTTACATAGATTACAGCTTAAAAGAATTCAACATCAGAGGATTAATTAGGAAAATTTTCAGAACCAGAAGCAGCTCTTAGTTATATCAGGGAGATACTTGAAACTTTAGAAATTAAAAGAAAATTGTTATCTGATACTAATGCATCTACTTCTTCAGAAAATAATGATAAAACACAAGATGAAATAGTTAAAGAAGAAAAAGAACTTAATTTCTCTAACCTAGGAAAACTATAATAATTGGATTAGTAGTACTCATATTTTTTTCCCAAAAATTATCTAGATAAATATCAATCCGTCAATATTAAGCCAGAAGAATCATATGCAATTTAATGCTCTTCTTTTTGCACATTACATTTTCATTCATCTGTGGGAATAAATTTAATAAATTATGTTTCTGGTAAAAATTTAAGAACATAAGGTTTATATGTAGGGCATTAAAAACCTTATGTCCTCGGATTACTTTCAGTCTTATATGGATTGAGATATAGTTTATTTTTGAATTTACCTTAAATTACATTATAGGTATGGAAAAAATAAGATTTTGAATTTTTGAATAAAATGGTTTAACCTCCATATCCTTAATAATAATAAGCTATGGCAGCTATTGATGGTTATTCAACACTTTTGAAATAAGTAAAGTTTGAATTGACTGAGTATGATTTATGCAAATCATCATATGTATCAGCAGTGAAGGAATTTGAAAAATATGCTAATGTCAAACAAAGGAGCAAAAAAATTCGTAAAATAGATAAAGATGATTGAAGAGTTTTAATATATTAATATATTTAAAATAAATGATTGAATAATTATCAAAAAGAAAAACAAAGATTCTTTTCTAAATTATCAACTTTTAAAAATATTATATAAACTTATTTGATAATTATTCAATATATTACATAAAGTTAAATCATTTATGAATTCAATAATGATTAGATAGTTCTTTTGAATTGTACACTGATCATGTTAATTACATTCCTATAGATATTTAAATATATAATCTTTATAAGTAAATTAATCTATATTATTTATCTTTTATATATTGAATTTAATAAATTATTTCTACAATTTAATTGTTAAAAAATACTTCAGTTTGGATAATAAGAAAGATATAATTTAGCAATCTATATATTTAAATGTATATCTCTTAAATAATTAAAAATTTGATATGAAATTAACTAGTAAGCTAATAATATCTATATAAAGGAAGAAATTGTAATATTAAGTTTTAAAATTTAATGTTAACACAAAGAAGGAGTTCATTGAAAATATAATATAAATAATATAAAAAAAAGAAATATTCATTTGTTTTAAATTATTATTATTATTTAATATAAAAATTTCTTTGGATGGAAGAATAAATAACACGTTCTGGTAAAAAACTTTGGGCTATTGCACGTAAGAAAGTAAAAGTGATAGCACGGATAAATGCTATGAAAAGAATAACTCTTTAAAATTATTATGGAGTTAGAGATGATAATGATTTTGTTGAGGCCACTTAAATTAATAAATGGGTTATTTATCCTGACTCAAAATTTAAAGGATGTTGGGATTTTATCATTATACTTCTTATGCTTTATACATGCACAATTTTACCATTTCGTTTAGCATTTTAAGATTCTACAAGTGATGTATGGAATACAATTGATGAAGTCTTTAATTATGTTTTTATGGCAGATATTGTTATTAATTTCTTTACTGCTTATTAAGATGCTGATAATGTTTTAGTTACAAGCAATAAATATATAATTATGAACTACTTGAAGAGCTGGTTTCTATTAGATTTAGCTTCAGTGTATTAAAATGATATTAAATTTAAGGATTCCTTTTGATTAAATATTTCAGCCAGATCCATAAACTGAGACTACCACAACTTAAGGTTAGAAAGGTTCATACACTTAATTATTAAGATTGACAAGATTACCTCGTTTATATAGATTATTGAAGGTAGTAAAGTTATTCAGAATAGTTCGATTTTAATAAACAAATAGATCATCTATGTTTTCCAAATTAATAAAATCTTGTATAAAGTTGGATGCAAGTATAAAAAGAATGATAAAAATAATGGGAATGTCATTATTATTTTTGCATTTGAGTAGTTGTTTTTATTATTTAATAACAAAAATTGAGACTGATACAGTTACATGGGTGACTAATTTAGGTTTAGAAGAGGCAGATGAAGCAACTCTTTACATTAGATCATTTCATTGGGCATTATAAACATTAACTACAGTGGGTTTTGGAGATGTATCACCATAGACAGATTGGGAGAAATTGTATGCAATATTTTGGATGGGAGTAGGTAGTGCATTCTTTTCATTTATGATATCAAATCTACAAGGAGCAGTAGGAGATTCAGAGAAATCAGCTAAGAATAAGATTATGAGATTAAATGTGATTTAGAATAAAATAAAGATTCCAGATTATTGTATTATATTTAATTTTAATAAATTTAAGTATTTGGATTGATAAAGAGACAACTTGAATCATAATAAATAGAAAATTCTAGATAATAGATAATATTACAAACTAAACCATTAATTAAATAGTTGCCTACATGTTTAAGATCATCAGTATAATTATGTATTTATGCTCATGTTATTGAAAAAATTAAATTTTTATAAGATAAGGATATAGAATTAATTATGGATGTGATTCCTAAAATATCTCCATTAAATTGGGCTTAAGGTGATATTCTATTTTCAACTGATGATTATGCAGAAGAGATCTATTTTGTTTCAATTGGAGAAATAACTACAAGAGCTGCAGATGGTTCTACAATATCTGTATATAGAGAAGGTGATACTCTAGGATTATTGGAAGCAATTTATGATGTTAGAAGAATAGGTACTGCAATATGCAGTAAAAATACATAACTCTTTAGTTTGGATAGAACAACTTATTTATAAATGTTGTAGGATTATCCATAATTACTTTCTGAAGTTAAATAATAGGTTGACAAAAGAATTAAAGAAGTCAAACCTTTTGTTGAAGATGCCACTATTTTAAATAGATCAATCTATGAAGTTATGTAAGATTATTAAAGAAAGATTAATAAAATTAAGAAAATAATAGAGTAATTACAAAAATCAGAGGATAGTAACGATATCATAGATACTGATAAAAATTAATTACAAATATTTCTATAAACCAATACACAATTAGGTGATATTATGAATTTACAAAGAGAATCCAATTCTAGAGAAACTGTAATGTTTGAAAATGCAAAAAGCATGAACAATTTAATTGATTAATTAGCTGATTTATGGTAAAAGTAATTAATCGAAAAAATTGATTAAATGCATACTGAAACTACTTATATGATTTAAGCTGTTCAAGATAGAGTAGAGTATTATTAGAAAGCCACAAAGAAGTTTTCAAATCTTAAAAATGATCTAACTAAACAAAAGGAAAATATTTAGAGTATGACAAAAATATGATCAATTTTACTATTTTTATTAAAATATATATCCATAAATTCAAAGAATTATTATTTATGTAAAAAGAAGAACTGATATAAGAAAGATTAACAAACTCTTCAATAAAGGAAATTGAAAATGAATTATAATAAGCTGTCAAATATGGAAATGTTGATAAGGTTTTGCAGTATTTGAGTAAATATTCTATTTTATATACTGATTAGATAAATATCAAAATCACATTTATCTAATTTGCTGAATAATTAAGCATATTTAATACTTAAAACTCTTTATGATTATGGATCAGAAATGCAATGCTATAATCTATAATATTTTATATATGTAGAGATGGAAGATGTTAATTAGTTGATTTCTTAATATCCAAAGGGTTGAGTGTTAATGAATAGGATATTAATGGTTAGACACCTATTTATTATGCAGCAAGAGAGAATAGATTTGAAATTTTATAAAGATTAATTTAAAATGAGGCAAATATTGATCATAGAGATAAAATCTATATGTATTTTTTATTCAGCCAAAGTAGGTCAATTTTAAACTTGTTAAATTTTGATTGATGTAATTATTTTATTATAATTCAATTTAGGCAGATAGTAAAATAAATCATCAAGATGTAACCAAAGAAACTGCTATTGCTTATGCTAAAAAGTTTAATAGAAAAGAAGTTTTGATCTATTGATGATAGAGGTTTAGAAATAAAAGAATGAAGTTAATTAAAAAAGAGATTATGGTTATACAAAATTGGAATAAAAAATTAATTGAAAGAATACGTTAGATATAACTCAATTTTAATATAAATTAATAAATATGGATGATAAAGGAATATCAAAGGAAGTAAAAAATGAGGATTTTAAAAGATTTTAATTGGAATTTTTAGAGATTGCAAAAAAAATCAATTTAGAAGTTGGACAAGCTAGTGTAAAAATGAAATTAGAATATTTAATAATGATTAAATAATGTGGCATCAATAAATAAAATTGATGAATTTTTGTTTTTATTTATAAAATTATAATTAGATGTCTTACTTCAGACTAAATATGTATATATATCTAAATGATTTGTATTAAATAATAATTTATAAATAAAATGATTATACCATTATAAATGGATCAATCATTAGTTGAGAACTCTAAAAGAAAACCATTTAGTCCTCTAGAAATAAATCCAAAATAATATTCAATGTCTAATAAATTAAATTTACTTCAACTTGATATTATGACTCCTATTCAAGTCAAAAGTAATCATTCAAATTCTAACATCTAATTTGGACTATAGAAACTACTTAAAACAAGTCCTTATGCATAATTGATTAAATAAAAATCACAATAATAAATTAGTAGCATTGATACTGGCTCTTAAAATGTATATAATGGAACTACTCAACATTCTTCTTAAACTAATGTAAAAGTAGATAATAAATTTATGATGACTAATAATCAAAACAATATCAAAAGGAGAATTCATAATTCCATGAAGATTTTTGCACCTAAAAAATCACTTGAGTATTCTCATTAAATAAATTCAACTTATAAAGATAAATAAACAATTAAAGCACTTTAAGATTTATTAATAAGATCAACATTAACTTTACAAATGTATAAAGAATAGATTATTAAAAGTGAATAAGAGAATATCAAACTAAAAGAATAACTTTCAGGTTTGTAAGTTTAGAATTGACAATTTCATTATTCAATCAACTATTATCTATATTTAACATATATTATGTTATTAAATTTTATTTATATTTCAATAACTTAGCTATCTAATGTCAGAAAAGACTATGAAAGTAGATCCAACTATTTGTATACAATAAAATGTATTTAGTGATACAAAAAATCATAAGGGAAAATGCATATTTAACAGAAATAGATAATAAACTAGATTATGATGAATTACATAATCCATTAAATGTTGAAGAAACTTAATCTTAGTTAGTTGATTCAATCTTTGGAAGTTGCAATGTTAAATCTCAGAAAGGTATTATATATGAATCTATAATGATAGCAAGTAAAATGATTAGTTCATCTGGAAATGCTAAACCATAATCTAATCAACCATATGGCTCATTATTTAGAAGTGGAATTTCTAATTACACAGTTTCAGATGAAGATGAAATTTAAAACAATTCACAAGATATCAAAAATTCTTAATATGTGACTTCTTAGATAGAAAATGATGATGTCCATTATCTTAAACCTCCAGAATTAACACACTTAAATAATCAAATGTCTATTGAAGACTTGATTAAAAAATGTTAATAACTTGAATTAAATTTGGAAATTGAAAGAAAGAAAAATCAAGAACTAAATGGTAATATTTTTTTATTTTATATTTACAGATATAATTCACAATTAAAATGAGAGAATATAGGAATTGACAGAAATAGAAAAAGCTGCTTATGAATAAATGGATGGAAGACTCAAAGAAATTTCAGAATTGTAGGCTAAAAATATCTTTTTAGAAGGATAATTATAGTAGTTAAGGGAAAGTCAAGAAAAGGAACTAAGTAAAATATAATTTAATCTTATTTAGAATAAAGAATAAAAGGATTTATGGATTAAAATAATACTTCATAAATGAATGCTATGTTATGTATTCAAATTTAATATCTATTTATTAGAAATAAAAGAAAAATAGATTTAATTATTATAAGGATAATTAAGTAGTCTTCGAGCTGCTACTTAATATAGATCTTAAGGGAGCTATCATAGTACTTAAAGTCATGATAATAATTAAGACAGTAAAATTATTAATCATATTATCAACAACACAAATAATAATTAGATTATAATAAAAAATGAAATATTTTAAAAAGGAATAGCTTCATTACTTTAAAAACCAAAAACATAGACACCAAAAAAATAATCATTTATTAATTAGGATTCTTAATCTACTCACAGATCAAAGAAAGGGATGAGTCAAAATAATTAAAATTCAAAAGATTCAATTACATAACCAACCTCATGGTTAGATCATTTATAAAAAAAGAATGATGAAAAACTTAAAAAATTGTAGAATCAACCTTCAGAAAAAGAATTATAATAAACAATATTAAATAATTCAATAAATGATAATGTTCATAAATATGTACATGCTGATTGTATAATATTTATTAAATATTAATTAGTGAAAATTACTAAAGTAAATAGTCCTGCATTCTAAAGAAAAACAACTTATTAAATAACAACAGATAATGACAATTAAGATCAATAAGATTTTGTAAAGTAAAAAAGCTTATAGCAGAAATGATAATTAATATTTACTTATCACATCAAAATAATAATTTCTTTATTTTTTCATTGTAATTATTTTTAATTTA